ATCAGGAAGAATCTAAAAATCTCAATAGGCCAATAACTATGGAAGAAATTGAAGCAGTCATCAAAAAACTTCCAGCAAACAAAAGCCCAGGGCCAGACGGCTTCACAGGGGAGTTTCACCAAACATTCAAGGAAGAACTAAAACCTATCCTCCTCAGATTATTCCAAAAAATTCATGAGGAAGGAATACTTCCAAGCTCATTCTATGAAGCCAGCATCACCCTCATACCAAAACCAGATAAAGACAACACAATGAAAGAGAATTACAGGCCAATATCCCTCATGAACATAGATGCCAAAATCCTCAACAAAATCTTAGCAAATCAGATCCAGCAGTACATCAAAAAGATCATACACCATGACCAAGTAGGATTTATCCCAGGGATGCAAGGATAGTACAATATCCACAAATCAATAAACGTGATACATCACATAAACAAATGGAGAGATAAAAACCACATGGTCATATCAATTGATGCAGAAAAAGCATTTGAAAAAATCCAACACCCATTTTTGATAAAAACTCTCAGGAAGGTGGGAATAGAAGTATCATACCTCAACCTAATAAAAGCCAGATATGACAAACCCACAGCCAACATCATACTCAATGGGCAAAAACTAAAACCATTTCCCTTAAGAACAGGAATAAGACAGGGATGCCCACTCTCACCACTCCTGTTCGACATAGTACTGGAAGTATTAGCCATTGCGATTAGAAAAGAAGAAGAAATAAAAGGCATCCAAATTGGAAAAGAAGAAGTAAAACTGTCCTCATTCACAGATGACATAATATTGTTCATAGAAAACACTAAAGACTCCATCAAAAAAATATTAGACTTAATAGATGAATTCAGCAATGTAGCAGGATACAAAATTAACCCCAAGAAATCTGAGGCATTTCTATACAACAATAGTGAACTTTCAGAAAGAGAGATTATAAAAACAATCCCATTTACCATCGCACCAAAAAAATTAATATACCTAGGAATAAACTAAACTAAAGAGGTAAAAGACCTCTACTCAGAAAACTACAGGACGTTGAAAAAAGAGATAGAGGAAGACATAAAGAGATGGAAGAACATACCATGTTCTTGGATTGGTAGAATCAACATCATTAAAATGTCCATACTACCCAAAGCAATCTATAAATTCAACGCACTTCCCATTAAAATACCAATGGCCTACTTCAAAGATCTAGAACGAACTCTCCAAAAATTCATCTGGGATAAAAAAAGACCCCGAATAGCTACAGCGATCCTGAGAAAGAACAAAATAGGCAGGATCTCAATACCTGATATCAAGCTGTATTACAAAGCCACGGTTCTCAAAACTGCCTGGTATTGGCACAAAAACAGACATATAGATCAATGGAATAGAATAGAGAGCCTAGAAATAAACCCAAACCAATATGCTCAATTAATATTTGACAAAGGAGGCAAGAACATACAATGGAGTCAAGATAGTCTCTTCAATAAATGGCATTGGGAAAATTGGACAGATACATGCAAAAAAATGAAACTGGACCACCAACTTACACCATACACAAAAATAAACTCAAAATGGATAAAGGACTTAAATATATACGATGGGAAACCATAAAAATACTAGAAGAATCCAAAGGCAACAAAATCTCAGACATATGCCGAAGAAATTTCTTCACTGATACAGCTCCTAGGGCATTGGAAACTAAAGAGAAAATAAACAAATGGGAATACCTCAAAATAAAAAGCTTCTGCACAGCAAAAGAAACCATCAACAAAACAACAAGAAAGCCCACTGCATGGGAGAACATATTCGCCAATGTTATCACCGATAAATGTTTAATCTCCAACATTTATATGGAACTCATACAACTTAACAAAAGGAAGATAAACAATCCAATCAAAAAATGGGCAAAGGACCTAAATAGACACTTTTCAAAAGAGGACATTCAGAAAGGCAAGAGACATATGAAAACATGCTCAAAGTCACTAATCATCCGAGAGATGCAAATCAAAACAACAACGAGGTATCATCTCACACCTGTCAGAATGTCTATCATAAACAAATCAACAAACGACAAGTGCTGGAGGGGATGTGGAGAAAAGGGAACACTCCTGCACTGCTGGTGGTAATGCAGACTGGTGCAGCCACTATGGAAGACAGTATGGAATTTCCTCAAAAAACTAAAAATGGAACTCCCCTTTGACCCTGTGATCCCACTTCTAGGAAGATATCCCAAGAAACCAGAAACACCAATCAGAAAGGATATATGCATCCCTATGTTCATAGTGGCACAGTTTACCATAGCTAAGATCTGGAAACAGCCTAAGTGCCCATCAGCAGATGAATGGATTAGAAAACTGTGGTACATCTACATGATGGAATACTATGCTGCTATAAAAAAGAAGAAGAAGAAGGAATTCTTACCATTTGCAACAGCATGGATGGAACTGGAGAGCATTATGCTAAGTGAAATAAGCCAGTCAATGAAGGAAAAATACCACATGATCTCACTCATTCATGGATAATAAAGACCATTATAAACTGATGAACAAAAATAGATACAGAGGCAGAGCAGCATCGGGCAGACTGTCAAACTATAGCGGGAAGGCTGGGGAGGGTTGGGGAACAGGAGGGGGGATAAGAGATCAACTGAAGGACTTGTATGCATACATATCAGCATAACCACTGGACATAAGACACTGGTGGGTAGGGGATGCTGGGGAAATATCAAGGGGCGGGGAGAGACATATGTAATATTCTTTGTAATACTTTAAGCAATAAAACAAAATTAAAAATAAAATAAAATATTTGTAAGATTGGGACTTAGTAATATGCACAAATATACAGTAAATTAACTAGGTTTCAAAATAGAAAGTCATGAAGTCAATCTGAAAAAATACCTTCCAAGCAATCAATTAAAAATTACTCATTTGAAAAGAATCTCAATTAAAGATTAAAAGACTTAAGAAACATATCAACTGTCAGGATGGCCTCGGCGAGATCGGGATAGCCCGGTGAGGTTTGGACGCCCCCAGAGAGGTCAATACGGCCCAGGTGAGGTCGACACTGCCCCAGTGAGGTCTGGATGGCGCCGGTGAGGTCCAGACGGCCCCAGTGAGGCCAAAACGGCCCCAGTGAGGTCAGGACAGCCCAGGTGAGGCCACAACAGCCCCAGTGAGGTCGGGATGGCCCCGGTGAGGTTGGGACGGCCCAAGTGAGGCCAAAACAGCCCTGGTGAGATCAGAATGGCCCCGGTGAGGTCAAGACAGCACTGGTGAGGTCGAGACAGCCCCGGTGAGGTCCGGACGGCCCCGATGAGGTTGAAACGGCCCCAGTGAGGCCGAAACGACCCGGTGAGGTGGGGACGGCCCCAGTGAGGTGGGGACGGCCCCGGTAAGGTTGAAACGGATAATAAAGACCAATATAAACTGATGAACAAAAATAGATGCAGAGGCAGAGCAGCATTGAAAAGACTCAAACTACAATGGGAAGCCTGGGGAGGGTTAGGGGGGGGGGGTTAAGAGATCAACCGTAGGACTTATATTCATGCATATAAGAATAACCAATGGACACAAAACACTGGGGGGTAGGGGAGGCCGGGGGAAAGTCAAGGGGGGGGCGGGGGAGACATGTAATACTCTTTGTAATACTTTAAGAAATAAAAATTATTTTTTAAAATAAATAAATAAGAAACATATCAACCAATTACAACTGATGGACATTATTTTGATCTTGACTTAAGCAAACTATCTTTAAGTATATGCAATTAGGAAAATCAGACATTGATTAGATAGTTGATGACATTAAGAAAGTGAGTTTGCAGTATGATATTGATAATATGGTTACATTTTTTAAAGCCTTTTTGTGTTAAAGATATACACAGAAAGATTTAAGTGTAAAGTGATATGATGTCTAAGATTTGCTTTAAAATAATTGGGAGTGAGTGAAGATAGTGATCAAGTAAGACCGGTGATAGATACATGGAAATTCATTATATTATCTAATTTTTTAATGTTTGAAATGTCCTATAATAAAATGTTTTTAAGAGAGTTATTATCTGATACAGATATATAATGAAATACTGTAGATGAATATAATGTCAGGGATATGCTTCAATATGTCACATGATTTTAAGTTAACTGCTGAGTGGAAAATGCATGATGGGATCCCCAAATGGACAAAACCAAACCAATTTGGAGGTTATTGGAGTAATCTAATTAAGAAATGATGATATTTAGGACAAGAGTGATAGCAGTACAGAAAAAGAGAAGTGGCTGTGGACTGAGGATATAACAGATGGAGCTAGAGGCAGTACCAACTGCAATATAGTGTGGGCAATTTCCAGCTTGAGCAACTGGATTCACAGAGGTCCCTTCAGAGAACCATGTGAAAGACCGAGAAAACAACAGTGCATGCTAAGACCTGCTAAATTTGAGCAGTTTATAAAGCATCCAAGTAGGCAGTTGGATAAGGAATTGTGTAGCTCAACTACAGATACATCTGTAGTTGTCAACAACACTCAGTTGGTGTTGAAAATAATGAGAATAATATCACCTAGAGAGCGTGTAGACATGTAAAAAGAAGGACTGATCCGTGAGAAATATCAAAATTCAGATAATGGATGGAAAGGAATGAGTAAAGGGAGATGGCTGGTGAGACAGGGAGGAAAACTGGGAGAATGCAGAGTGTTACAAGGCAGCAGGAAAAAGTATTACAAGGCAGGAAGGAGGGAGCGGGTAGCTGTGGAAACACTTCTAGGAACTCTTATAACATGGAAACTGAGCAGTGTATGGCAACATGAAAGTCAGTCACATGGTCTGAGGCAGGCCCAGCAAAGTGGCAGGAATATGCATAAGGCCGCATGATGGACAAACAGATGAATTAATAGGGACTGACAAACAGAGTGACACTAAAAGAAACACACATGGCAGCATGAACAGATCAGAAATAGGCAAGATATATGGAGAGGTCAGAGCTCTGTGACAGCAGGCAAGAGGCCAAGGCAGCCACACTCACCCTGCATGCTCGCCAGCATGGGCCACACACGCATCTAGCTGGGAACTCCAAGCACAGACAGGGTCTTGGGCCAGGATGCACTCTGAGCAGCTCTGGAGACGTCCACAGTTGGTTGTGTTCACTTGTGTTACCTCAGTACGGGAGCCAACCAGGAGCCAGCTCTAGAGGAAGTGAGTAAAAAAGAGGACTATGATGCATATCTCAGACTTCGTGGTCACAAGCTAGCTCAAATGTCTCCCCACCAGACTCCCCGAAATCTATGACTCACTTGACACAATTTCATATTCTCAACTGGCTGTGGCTCTGGGAATAAGGCCAAATCCTCAAGGACGCTGAGCTTGGCTCCAATCCGCACAGCTCTGTGGAGGTGTCCATCCTCTAGGAAGCAGGCAGAGGGCACGACATAATGACACACTGTACCTGTGCCTGGGACTCTCATACTTGTAAGTATACAACCCTCTCTTTGAAAAGAACATATGTGAACGGGATGGGCAATGTACTTGGCTACTAAACATACCTGTCCCCAGGTAGAGCACATCATACTCTTTCCCTGACAGGCTGGCCACCCTGTGGGCCACAACTCTGAGATAGACTGTATCTGTAGTGACCAGCAGGGAGTGGCCATCAGCTGGAAGCACTGGCCTGTACATAAGGGGGTGATCCCGGATGAAGGTGAGCACACGGTCAGGCAGGGAGAGTGATGAGTTAAACTGTTGGAATTTCGGGTTATTAGCGATGCACTAGGGAAAACACAGGATAGGTGACAATGTTTCCCAGGGGCCAGGAAGTATCCGCGATGCTTACTTGGGCTCTTGCTCTAATGAGACGATTCTGGCATGGGGTGAAGAGCTGCCCCAGACCCCTTACCTCTCCAGGTCTGGGCTGGGGTACCTCACTGTCCATGACAGGCTGTCCCCTGTTGCAGACATCTTTCAGCTCTCTGAAGGGACCATTCAGCACTGTCCGAATGTCTTGTGGTCGGAAGGCACAGACAGCCGAGATGGCAGCCCCCTCCCTGGAAGAGACACAGGTTGGAGCCAGATATCTGAAGAGCACTAGGGAACAACTCACCCCAGGCCAAATGAGATGACCCATAAGAAATGCATAGGAGCCATGCAGCCGGCTCCTGGGAGAAGCCACCCCCTCTGGAAGAGACAGCACTGAAAGGTGCCAGCCCCACGTTATCTCCCACCCTGTAATTCTCCTCCACACCAGGACACCCTCACCATTGAGAGAAAAAGATGCCATAAAAGATGGGGGCCCCCACTCCAGTGTCAGGTCGAAGAATAGACATGTCCTGCAGGACACTAGAGGCCCGGCCATCTACAGGCCCTGGACACCGCAGGTCAGCCTTCAGGAAGGTCGTCCACCTCTTCTGGAGTGTCCTCCGTCCCCCAAGGTCCCCCTGGGGTGAAAAGAGCATGTGCGTTTCTCTTTAGAAGACAAACATTGTAGGGAGAATGTAGAGACCAATACGAGTTTCCCCCAGACAAGGACAGATGGAGAGACAGACGCATAAGAATGCAATGTAGAGATACAGACAGTTAGCAGTTGGGAATGATACAGAGGTAGACAGTGTCACAATGACAGGGACTAAGTTCATTGTTGCCCTTACGAAGTACTATACTATGTGATTTACATACTTTATCTCAGTTAGGCCTCAAAACAACCCTTATAGCTAGGCATTATCAATATCCTCATCTATAAGGATGCTAAAGAACCTGCCCCAAGTCACAGAGGCAGGAAGTGGTGGAGCAGGGTTTGGAGCCCAGATCTGTCAACAATACCCACCTTTCACCTCTACACCTCCTAGGGACACTGTGTCAAAAGGGTAGTTATGGAGTTAAAGGGGCTAGAGCCCTTTCCCGATACTCTTCAAGCTCCCAGAAAATAAGTCAAGACAGGGAAAATGGAGACAGAGGAGAAATGTAAAGACCAAGACCCAGAGAAGAAAAGATAGATACCAGGCAGAGCAGGAGACAACAGACAGACAGCTGGGATCGGAGTCTCACCGCACACACACGGGCCACCCGAGGAACTTTAAGGTGCTCATCTGAGTCAAAGGCTTGAGAAGTCTCCATAAAGAAGAAGTAGATTTCTTTGTCTCCATCTTTATCTCCCCACTCAGCTGGCCTCAAGTCCATGGCTGCGACAAAGGCTGGAGCTGGGGAGACCTGTGGCCTCAGATCCCACAGACTCAGTGAGGGGCCACCCAGCCTCCACCCACCTTCTCTGTCCCCAAAGGCCCCCTCTTCCTCTCCCCACCGTTAAGCCAGGATGGCAAGGTCTCTGTCCGAATCCAATCCTCAGCACGGCCCTCAGCCCGGGAGATAATGGGCTCCGTCCCCAGGAAGTTTCTCACAGTGGCAGCATAGAGAACCTCCCCTGCAGGGAGAAAGGGAGGAGATGAGCTGTGAGACCTGCTGAAGGATGCAAAAGGGGCCACAGGCAGAGCAGGGATAAAGCAGGGGTAGGAACTCTCAGGGGCTGAGGGCCCATTAAGTGCAGGGCACTGCTAAGCACAGGAGAGGATTCCCTCATTTAAAATCATCCTGGATATAAAGTGCTCCAGGGCAGATTGGGGGACTAGTGTTTAGAGGAAAGTGCCAGAATGTTAATGTATATGAAAGCAGAATGAAAGCTGCCCTAGTATCCCGAACAGTGTGGCTCAATGGGTGAGCATCGACCCATGAACCAGGAGGTCACAGTTCAATTCCTGATGAGGGCACTTGCCTGGCTTGTGGGCTTGATCCCCAATAGGGCACGTGCAGGAGGCAGCCAGTGTTTCTCCCTCATCACTGATGCTTCTAGCGCTCTCTCCCTTTCTCCTTTCCTCTCTCCGAAACCGATATATAAAGAAGAAAGCTACCCTTGTGGAAATCAGGCTGTTTGGTTGGTTTGCTTGTGTTGTCTTTGTTTTAGGGATTTCTCTACCCTGTAATATACTAATTACTAGAGGCCTGGTGCACAAAAATTTTTGCACTGGGGGGGAGGCGGGTCCCTCAACCAAGCCTGTGCCCTCTCGCAGTCTGGGACCCCTCGGGAGATAACGACCTGCTTGCTTAGGCCTGCTCCCGGGTGGCAGAGGGCAGGCCTAATCCCTAGGTGCAGCCCCTGGTCGGGCTCAGAGCAGGGCCGATTGGGGAGTTGGGGCTCCGCCCCCTGTCATGCACAGAGCAGGGCGGATCGGGAGGCTGCGATGCCACCCCTAGTCACGCTCAGGGTAGAGCTGATTGGGGGGGTTGGGGCACTGCCCCATGTCACACTCAAGGCAAAGTCGATGGGGAGGTTGCAGCGCCACCCCCGTCACGCACAGAGCAGGGCCAATCAGGGGGGTTGGGGCACCGCCCCCTGTCACACACAGAGCAGGGCAGATCAGGGGGTTGGGGCACCGCACCCTGCCACACTCAGGGCAGGGCCGATGGGGAGGTTATGGCTCTACCTCATCACACACAGAGCAGGGCCTGTGTGTGGGGGGGGGGGGAGATCATCACACACAGAGCAGGGCCTTGGGGGGGGGGAGGTTTGGGGCACTGCCCTCTATCACCCACAGAGCAGGGCCGATCAGGGGGTTGGGGCACCGCACCCTGTCACACACAGAGCAGGGTGGATCAGGGGGTTGGGGCACTCCCCCCTGTCACACTCAGGGCAGGGCTGATGGGGAGGTTGCGGCTCCACCCCGTCACACACAAAGCCGCAGGGTGATCAGGGGGTTGGGGAGCTACCCCCTATCAGGTACAGAGCAGGGCTGATCAGGGGGTTGGGGCGCCTTCCCCTATCAGGAACAGAACAGGGCAGATAGGGAGGTTGTGGTCCCACCCCCTGTCACACACAGAGCCGCAGGGCGATCAGGGGGTTTGGGTGCTGCCCCCTGTCACGTGATCCCAGTGCTGGGAGGCATATTACCCTTTTACTATATAGAATAGAGGCCTGGTGCACGGGTGGAGGCCAGCTGGTTTGACCTAAAGGGTGTCCTGGATCAGGGTGGGGGTCCCACTTGGGTGCCTGGCCAGTCTGGGTGAGGGGCTGATGGCTGTTTGCATCTGGTCACACCCCATTCAGGGTGGGGGTCCCCACTGGGGTGCCTGGCCAGTCTGGGTGAGGGGCTGAGGGCCCTTTTCAGGCTGGCGGGTGACTGAAGCTCCCAACTGCTCCTTTTTTTCTTTTCTTTTTTTATTCTGGGCCAGCTTTAGCTCTGAGGCTTGGCTCCAGCTCTGAGGCCTCGGCTGCTGAAAGCAGGTATCTGGTTTGTTTGGGTTCTCTAATCGAAACACTGTTTCAACTCCAGCTCTGAAATCCTGGCTGACTGAAAGCAGGTTTCTGGGGTTTTGTTTAGCTTCTATATTTCTTACAATGTTTCAAACTGCAAGCTCAGAGGCTGGCAGCGGCAGGCGGGGAACCTTGGCTTCCTCCATCACTGAAGCAAACAAGCCTCCTGTTTGCTTCAGTGCATGGCTGCCGGGCGCCAATTTGGCTGGCAGTTAATTTGCATATCGCCCTGATTAGCCAATGGGAAGGGTAGTGGAGGTATGGCTAATTACTATGTTTCTCTTTTATTAGATAGGATACTGCTACTCTTCAAGAAGGAGGTTAGCTTTCCAGCAAGTCCCAGTCTTACTTAAGTTCTCCCCCTGTGGTAAATGTCTGAAGGAACTAGCATTCTTTCTCAACATTAGTGGGTGTACACTGCTCTGGAACTAGTCACAACCTTAGGGAATACTAGCATCATTTGGATGTTGATCGAGATGCAGATTCCTGGGTGAGAAGGGAGTGGTGCAGCTCTGGGCTGAATGTGAGAGCAGTATAGTCACTTGGAGTACCACTGCCAAGGGCTCAGACAAGAGCCAGGGAAAATGATTTGGGGGAGTAAAAGGTGACAATCCCTCAGGGGACAGCAGTTCTGAAGAGAACAGAGTGGCATTACTTTATCACTTACTACATACAAGGCACTGTGCCAGGTGTTAAGCACATCAATGCCCCCAAGAACCCTCATCTGAGTCTGTTTAATCAGATGGATACCAAGAGGTGGGGATGCACAGATGTGTGCAGGAGCACAGAGGACAGCCCGGCCACATCTGACTGGGTAGCAGCATCTCAGAGGTGACATTTGAGCCAGGTCTGAAGAATGAGCATTTGCCAGGTAGAAGGGCTTCAGGGAGGACAATAAACATGTGGGGAGGAGGATGCCATGTCTAGGAATGTGGGCTACTCCCCAGGCTGAAGTGCTGATGGGATACAGGAGCTGACAGGCAAGCGAGCAGAGGTGCAGTTGGAGGTGCAGAGATGGGCACCCAACTATGATGACTCTGCTCTGCCAAAACCAGGAACATGGACTTGATCTTACAGGTAAGAGCACAACTGCAGAGATTTTCTTGAAGACAGGTGACATAATCAGTTTCGGTTTTTAAGAAGATAATGCTACTTAAGAGGCCATTCACACAGTGCAGGCAAGAGTGGAGTGCCTGAATTAAGGCAGGGGCAGAGGGAATGAAGGGACTGGACTTGGGAGATACTTCTGAGGTAGAGTCCATTAACAAGGTTTGAAAATCAATGGAGTATGAGGTGTGAAGAATGGAATAAAGTGTATCTCTAAGGTTTCCTGTTTAGAAGATGGATGATAGTAGATGGTGATATTATGAACCAGGAAATGACAGGAGAAGGCCTATAAAGGAGGTGGCTGAAGAAGTGACCTTAGTTGTTGGACATGCTAAGGTTGAAGAACCTTCAGGACATCTGGTCAGAGATATTGGAAGGCAATCAAACAGAAGGAGTCAGGCAGCAGGGCCACGTCAGGCTAACTGGGAGTCATGCTTCAGTCATGACGTAAACATCGCAGATAGGAAAAGCAAGAAGAGAGCCCTAGGACACCACCCTCTAAGGCAGTGGTCGGCATACTGCAGCTCGCGGAGCAAATGGCTCTTTGGCCCCTTGAGTGTGGCTCTTCCACAAAATACCATCTGCAGGCACACACAGACAGTGGGATTGAAACTTCGTGGCCCATTCGCAGAAGTCAGTATTTTGTGGAAGAGCCCCACTCAAGGGGCCAAAGAGCCGCATGTGGCTCACGAGCTGCAGTTTGCCGACCACTGCTAAGGGGGGAAGCTACTGAGGGCAACTCAGAAGATCAAGTCAGAGAGGATGGAGAAGCAAGTGAGGCTGGTGTGCCAGAAGTCAATGCACAGAAACCCCAGCAGGAGCCATGGGGCTCACCCACTTAGAGTAGCTATAGAGTAGAGCCACTACAGGGAAAACAGTCATGATGGAGCAAAGCTTCATGCCTCAGGCACCAGAAAGATCACCACGATGTTAAAAACATTATGCAGAGCAAAATAGAGTAAGGAGCCCTCAGAGGGCAACAGTGGAGGGTTAGAAACAGTGGAGGGGAGGGGAGGGAAGGGGAAACTATACTTTCTCTTGTGATTTGTGTTTAGGATAAGAATCCAAGCATGTTGGAGCCAGGGAGTTTGGGGTTTGAACCCTGAATGCTTACTGGTTGTATGATCTTGAGCAAATTAACCTTCCTAAGCCTCAGGTTCCTCAGAGCAGTGCTGAGTCTTAAATGAGATAAACACAGAGCCCAGGTAGGGCCTGGCCCAGGGCTGGCATTCAATACATGTTGGAGATAGCTCCTTATGAACTCTCAAGGGGCCATGTGCTTCAATTGTTGCCTGAGGTGGAGGGATTTAAAAAATGGCATTTATTTCCTTGCAGTGGTTTCAGGAGGGAGAAACCGGGTTTGGGGCACAAGTCCTGGTACCAAATGGAGCAGCAAATTAGCCAGTCTTCTGTATTTCCAAGGGAAAATAAAAGTTGATAAAGAAGCCAAAGTTGGAATGAAAATTTCCCTAAGAGAGTTGTAAATAAAACACTCTAAAACCAAAAGTGTGGTAGAAGTTGTGTCATGGATAACCTGAGAATGGAGGGAGATGTTGTGGAGACAGTTATAAATATGTTGGCAGCATGGTTTGGGGTACATGTGTGTAGACAATCATAAGTATTCTGCAAACAGTAAAGGACCTCTGTTAACCATGCAACGACCCAATGATAGATAAAGGTGAAGGGTTCAAAACTTTCTAGCAGATCATCAAGGGCACTCAGCAACTCTGGAGCCTAGATTGCTGAGGAGCACACTCAGGATGGAATAGCAGAGGATCACTGACACTAAGGGACTACAAAAGGAATCAGACACTTTGGGAGGAAATAGCATGGTTTCAGGTGTACCAAGGAACTTGCAACAGTCTTACAAACACAGCGAAAGAACAGCAAGCATCAGTTAATGAAGGGAAGAATCTACAGAGGAAACAGGATCACCCCATGTCCTAGATTCTCCGGGACAGTCTCACTTCCAAGTATTTTGCTGTACTGTCCATATAATACAATATTCC